ATCAATATTGACATTTCCTATTATGTATTCCCACAGCATGGGGTATACTCTGTATATGTTTGGTACTATCTTACTGTACTGTTTAGTTTTGGTCACCATTATTATTATTGTTGTTTTGTTTTATATAATATATATTTGTTGTTGTTGTTGGTGGTGGTGGTCATGCGACTTGAGCACTGTCCCTGAGCTTTTGTACTCGTCTAGTGCTCTATGACTTTGAGCCACAGGCCTACTTCTGGTTTGGAGGTGGTTAATTGGAGATGAGTCTCATGGACTTTGCTTCCAGGGCTGGTTTTAAGCCCTGTTCCTCAGATCTCAGCCTCTTCAGTATCTAGGACTACAGACATGAACCACCAGTGCCCAAGCTTATTATTATTAATATATTTTTAATTTTCTTTAGTTTAACAAAACAGTTGCCATACAAGAACAGTTTATGGACACAGTGCCTCTTGATCAATGACATCATTTTAAACAGTCTTACCCATCCCCCTCCCACCCCACCCTTCACTCACTTTTCTTAAATTTTAGGTTGTTTTGAATTTTTGCCATTTAACAAAGCAATTTATGTGTACAATCTGTCTCATCCCTTTAACATCTTTACATGTTCAATCTACCTCTTGTTATTTTTCTCAGTTGTGTGGCATGTACAATGCATTCTTCTCATTTCCCCATTTCCCCTGTCCATTCTCCTAACCTCTCTCTGCTAGCCCACCCCCTTGTAAATATCTTTACCATTGTTATTGAGATTTTCTTCTGATGCTTTTTTTTTTGTCGTAGTGGGGCTTGAACTCTGGGCCTGAGAGCTGTCCCTCAGCTCTTCAGCTCAAGGTGAGCACTCTACCACTTGAGCTACAGTACCACTTCCGGTTTTCTGGTGATTTATTGGAGATAAGAATTTCATGGACTTTCCTTCCTGGGCTGGGTTTGAACTGAGATCCTCAGATCTCAGCCTCCTGAATAGCTAGGATTATAGGCGTGAGCCACCAGCGCCCAACTTAAGGCTTCTTATAACTGTCATTCAGTTATAGGCTATCTTTGTATGGTACTTTGTGTTCATACATTTTCATACGTATTCAAACAACACGTTCTAGGATATTTGCTCTTACCTACTTCTCTGTACATACTTGGAGGAGTTCAATGCAGTAAATACTGAGATTCAATATTCATTCTTACTAGGTGACAATCTACTGAATTTCTTTTTTTCTCACAATTTTCCCCCTCTTTCATTTTCTTCAGACTCTTTTAACATCAGTCTCCCTATGAATAAATACCACAACTCCTAATTAACAACAACTAAGGACATTAGAATTGAGGTCAATACTCCCTTGCATAGCAAAGGAACCATTTACTTTGAATTTTTAGTTGATGGTTCCATCTGGGGCTGTATTTTTGAAGATGAAAGTACAATATTCATCCATCCTTTTTCTTGATAGATTATTAGGAAATATCCAATTTTCCTATGTCATCCTTTTTTTCTTTTGGATGGTAGTGGGGCCTAGGCACTGAACCTGAGCTCTTTTTTTCTCATGGCTAGCCTAGCATTCTACCACTTTGAGCCACAAACTCACTTCCAGTTCTCTGGTGGTTAACTGGAGATGAAATTCTCACAGACTTTCCTGCCTGGGCAAGCTTTGAACTGTGATCCTCAGATCTCAGCTTTTTTTTTTTTTTGGTTCCGGTCGTGAGGCCTGAACTCTGGGCCTGGGCGCTGTCCCTCAGCTCTTCAGCTCAAGGCTAGTGCTCTACCACTTGAGCCACAGCACCACTTCTGGCTTTTTTCTTTTTGCTTACGTGGTGCTGAGGAATCGAACCCCGGGCCTCATGCACGCAAGGCAAGAGCTCTACCACTGAGCCACCTTCCCAGCCAGATCTCAGCTTACTGAGTAGTAGGATTGCAGGTGTGAGCCACCAGCACATGCCTAGAGGCATTTAATTGTTCCTAGCCTTAGGTTCATCAGTGACTCCTCCTTGGACCCAGGTGGCATCTATGTAAATCTGAAGGTCAAATTTCTACTAAATGTCTATTCCATCTATGGTTTCACATGATCTGCCATGTCCACTGGCCTGGCACCAGTGGCTGACACCTGTAATCCTAGATACTCAGGAGGCTGAGATTTAAGGATCACAGTTTGAAGCCAGCTGGGGCAGAAAAGTCTGTGAGACTCTTATCTTCATTAAACTACTCAGAAAAAGCCAGAAGTGGCACTGTGGCTATAGCCTGGAGCAAAAGAAGCTCAGAGACAGTGCCCAGACCCTGAGTTCAAGTCCCAGGACTAGTGAAAACAAAAAAGAACCACGAACAAAAACTTACATAAATGCATGCAACACCCAAGATGCAAAATCAAAGCTTCTGAGATACTGAGCTTTTTGGCAATTACCTTGTGACTTATAGACAGTAAAAAAAAATGAAAAGTGAGATAAATAAGCAATATATCTTACTTTTTAGCATCCCCAAATACGATCATATGTTTGTTAAAAGTAGGTAAGATTCTACTCAGAAGCTTAAAAACCATTGCTTAGAAACATTCAAGCAGCTGAGGTAACTGGAGGGACAGGACACATTACTAGAATCTAAGATTGGGCAGTGAGTGTGTTTGTTCCTCTCAAATGATGTATTAATTCAGTGCACAAATCAAAATCTAACTAGCCTTGAACTGAAAACGCTTTGCACAACTACTTAAAGGTAATTTTTGTTGTTGTTGTTGGTCATGGAGCTTGAACTCAGGGCCTGGGCACTGTTCCTGAACTGTTTTTTTTTTGGTCGGTGGTGGGGTTTGAACTCTGGGCTTGGGCGCTATCCTTCAGTACTTCAGCTCAAGGCCAGCGCTCTATTGCTAGAGCCACAACGCCACATCCAGTTTTCTAGTTTATTGGAGATAAGAGTCTCATGGAGTTTCCTGCCCAGGCTGGCTTTGAACCGAGATCCTAAGATCTCAGCCTCCTGAGTAACTAAGATTACAGGCGTGAGCCACCAGCACCTGGCTCCTGAACTCTTTTTAGCTCAAGATTAGTACTCTACCACTTTGAGCCACCATTCCATTTCTGAGTTCAAGCCCCATGACCTAACCTACCTTTCAAAAAAAATGAGCTTATTTAAAAACATAGACAATAAAGGGAGTAGAATAGCCTAATGATTTAAAAAAGGTAAAATATTTTAGATTACTCACACTACTTGATTTTTTTCTTCTTTTTTTAAAGTTGTCATTATTAAGGTGATATACAGAGGGTTTATAGTTTCCTAAGCCAGATAATGAAACTTTTTCTTCTTTTTTTTCAGTCTTGGGGCTTGAACTCAGGACCTAGGCACTATCCCTGAGCTCTTTTTGCTCAAAGCTAGAGCTCTACCACTTGAAACACTGCCCCACTTCCAGTTTTCCGGTGGTCAATTGGAGATAAGAATCTCAGTACTTTCCTGCCGTGGCTGGCTTTGGACCAATCCTCAGATTTCAGTCTGAGTAGCTAAGATTACAGGTGTGAGCCACCAGCGCCCTGCCGTGAGCATATTTTCTTTTTTTGCTGTGTCATCCTTTTCTTCACTCTTCCCCAGTTTTTCTTTCTCATCCTCGCCCCCGCACACAAGTTGTCAACATAGTGTCTACTGAGTAACAATGCTGTATTTGTTCAGCCCTTTTCCCTCCATTTCTGTGCCTTCCCTAGCCCTCCCCCACAAGGACGGATAAAGGAACAAACAACACAAAAAGAAAGAAACAAAAAACCCAAGAAACAGACAAAAAACAACAAAAAGCAAAACAGTCCATCTTTACCAGCAGTCATGAGGAGGAGAGTGGTTGGGGTGGGGGTGGGGGACCTAGCTTCCATTTCCTGGAATTCATTTTGATAAATATTATTTTATATGATCAGAGGCACAGAGGTATTGTGCCTTTGTGTTCTTCCCCTAAGAGTACCCACCTTTGGTCTCACTGTGTGTGAATGCCTATAGTTCTGTACGATTTATATGCAAGTATATATGCATATGAGAGAAAAAGCACACCGTTGGTCTTTCTCAGCTTGGCTTACCTCACTTAACATGACTTGTTCTAGGTCCATCCATTTCCCGCAAATGACAATATTCTTTCTAATAGCTGTGTAAAATTCCGTTGTGCACAGATACCACATTTTTTGATCCAGTTATCTATTGTAAGGCTGTTTCCATAACTTGGCTATTGTGAAGTGTAGCAATGAAAATGGATGCGCAAGTCACTTTACAATACCCTGGCTTGTGATGCTCTGGGCAGATGCCCAGGAGTGGTATGGATGGGTCTTAGGGACACACTACCTGGTTTAAAGGCTTATTTTATCACCATGGTCATCAGGAGACTGTAGTAGTGACAGAAGTGAGGAAATGAGAACTTAATCGTAAATTCATACCTCTTGAGTTTTCAATAAAGATGCCAAGGTGTTTCAGTGGGAAATGATGGTGCTGAAACAACTGCACACGGAGAGGCAAGTGAATGAACGAACTGTGACTTTTATTTCATTCTATATACAAAAGTACGTTCTCTTCTTTTTTTTTCTTTTTTGTGGTTGTGCTCGAACTTGAACTCCGTACCTGACGTTTGGTCATTGGCTGGCGCTCTGGAGCCACGCCTCCAGCCCCTCCCCTCTCCTTTTCTTTTCTCGTCTAAGTCCGGGGCTTTTATTCTGGGCTCCGGAGCTGTCCTGGAGTTTTTGTGCTACAGGCTTAGCGCTCCACTAGTTGAGCCACAGCTTCACTTCCGGCTCTTCGGAGGTTAATTGGAGATAAGAATCTCACTATTCGAGCCACAGCTCCACTTCCGGCTTTTGCTGGTTAATTGGAGATAAAAGTCTCCTGGATTTTCCAGCCCCCGCTGGTTTGGAACCGGATTTTCAGATCTCCGCCTCCTGAGTAGCTGGTATTTCTGGCGTGAGCGCGGGGCACCTGGCTTTCTCCACGTCTTTTAAAAATGTATTCTAGAAGTAAATGCCAGAGAGTCGCTGCCCGGGGGCAAGCTGATGAGGAGGTGCACTCCGTACCCACCATGCCCGGCATATTCTCCAAGAACCCCGACCTGGAGTTTGACTCTCTGCAGCCCTGCTTCTATCCGGATGAAGACGATCTCTACTTTGGGGTCCCGGGCTCGACTCCCCCGGGAGAGGACATTTGGAAGAAGTTTGAGCTGCTGCCCACGCCTCCGCGATCGCCCAGACGCGCGGTCCTGGAGCACAGCGCGGTGTTCTCGCACTGGACCAACGAGATGATGTTGGCGGAGGCCGATGTGTGGAACTACGCAGCCGAAGAAAATGCGTTCAGCCTGGGGGTACTGGCCACTCTCACCCCAAACCCCGTCATCCTCCAGGACTGTATGTGGAGCGGCTTCTCCGCCTGCGAAAAGCTGAAGCGCGCGCTGAGCGAGAAGCTGCAACATAACCGCGGGAACCCGAACACCGGCCCCGCCACCCCGGCCCTGGGACCGGACGCCACCAGTTCCCAGGGCTGTGCGCAGGATGAGTCGGCTGAAGCTAGCTGCACGGAGGACGCTTTGCCCGCCAAGATCGCCCACTCTGCCGCCAAAAGCGCGGACCCCGCTCTGGCGTTTCCATTCCCTGGAACCCAGCACGAGCCGGCGCTGGCCCCCGTGCCCGCCGCTCGGGCCAGGGCTTCCGAGGCCAGATCTGCAGCAGCCCGGGCTGCCCGGACCACTGCCTGGATGGTCGCCCCTTCGAGCTCAGGCGGCCACCTGGCTATAGGTGGGGGTCACAATGCCCTCAGCACCTCCGGAGAGGATACTTCAAAGGGTTCAGACTACGGGGATGACGGTGAGGAAATCGATGTGGTGGTGTTCACTGAGAAGTATTCCTCCTCCCCCAACAACAACGAGGCTGCGACCACATTCATCACCACCTTGAGCCCCAAGAATGCAACCCTGGGCCTGGGGCCCGTGCACTCCAGTGAGCTGATCCTGAAGGGCTGTGTCCCCATCCACCAGCTGCACAACTACGCGGCTCTTCCACCCGAAGTGGAGATGGAGGATGCACCTTCTCCGAAAAAGATCAAGAACGAGGTGTCCCCACGGCCACTCAAGAGCGTTAGCCCCGCAAAGTCTAAGAGCTCCAGCCCACGACCTTCCGGCTCAGAGGGTGAGCGTCGTCGCAACCACAACATTCTGGAGCGCAAACGTCGCAGTGACCTGCGGTCCAGCTTCCTCGAGCTCAAGGATCACATTCCCGAGCTGGTGGAAAAAGAGAAGGCCGCCAAGGTGGTCATCTTGAAGAAAGCCTCCGATTATATACACGAGCTTCATGCCCAGGAGCAGCGGCTTCTTCTGGAAAAGGAGACCTTGGAGGCCACAAAGCAGCAGTTGCTAAAACAATTAAATGCACTTTAACTTGCTAAGCCTTAACCAAATGGACAGTCACTGTCATTTTGCACCTTTTTGTTTTTTGTTTTTTAGTTTTGTGTTGAAGTTAAGGATGTTGGTTTACTTTCCAGTCGGTTCCTCCTGTTTGGATCTGGACCTAGGAACAGGACATATGTGGCATTCTGCCACAATCCTGGAGAAGCTTGGTGGTGATGGTGACTCGGCAGCTTCCTCCATCTCAACTTTGGACATGGACCTCCCAGGGATATTTGTGACAGTTGGGAGCTTCTGGGGCTGTTGGTTTCCAAGTTTCCAAACACCTGTCATTCCGTCTTGTTCAATGGTGCTCAAGTTCCAGCAGATGCCGCTGACCACTTGGTGCCTCTGGGGGACAGTTTTGTACATACTGTTGACATAACCACCTTTTCTATCATCCTGGGTAATTAGAGGTAGCTTTTGCGGCCAGTATTAAAGTGCAAGTTCACACGTAAGTACTACAATAATATCTCAATGTTTGAGGAGAATGTTTGTATACACATACATTGTTAATCTGTTATGTACTGTACTACTTTTTACACTGCCTGTATACTTTAGTATAATGCTGATATATGACTAGATTTGATACTTATATTTTCATACAAAAATAGGCTGTGAAAGTTTTTAGTAGATATTACTTTATCACTTTTGGGACTAAAAACATTTTGTAAAGTTTACTATACACATATATGCCTTTTTTTTTACCTAGCCTGTTTTCTGACTGTTAATGTATTTGTCATGTTGATGCATAGAACTAGATAATGCAAAGTTCTGTGTTTAATTTCTTCAAAAATGTATGTATTTAGTGCTATATCTTATAGCACTTTGTTTATCTTATAGCATTCATGTTTATGATAATAAATAGCAGTTCAATGCTTTTTTTTTAAAAGAAAAGTAAATATAAGAGATATGGTTAGAAAACAAAGTTATAAGTCTTCTAGAAGATAACTCAGGGTACCCTGTCCAGGAAGGCTCTGCGCCCTTTATTTTGCTTCATTTAATTTAATTTGTGCCGGTCTTGGAGCTTGAACTCAGGGCCTGGATGTTCAAGGCTAGTGCTAGTTGAGCCACAGCTCTACTTCTGGCTTTTTAGGTGGTGAACTGGAGATAAGAGCCTCACAGTCTTTCCTGCTGAAGCTAGCTTTGAACTGCAAGCCTCAGATCTCAGTTTCCTGGGTAGCTAGCTCCTGGCCTCATCCCCTTTATACTGAGACCACTGAACTTCCCTACGGGAGACGCTCACCACTGGCTATCTTGTGGTTTAGAAGACCCAGTCAATTTTGTCTTCATTTTTGGATGCTTGAGAGGAGAGAATAGGGAGGAGTTATAAAGGGTTTTCAGTGCAAATCCTCTCCTTTTCTCTTTGTTCATTGCTCTGACAGTTCCTGTATGTTCTCAATATGAACCAAATGATCCATGGGTTAGGCACAGTGGCATACACTTGTAACTCCAGCTGCTTGGGAAGTAGAAGTAGAAGAATGGCAAGTTTGAGGCCAGCCTGGCTAAAATTAGTGAGTCCCCAATTCAAAAACAAAATAAAAACAAAAAGGTTGAGGGGAATTCCTCAAATGGTTGAGTGCATGCTTAGAACACATGAAACCCAGGATTCAGTTTCCACTACCACAAATATAAATGCCCCACATTGGAATGAGGATTCCTGAAAGGTTCATATGGTAAAGGGTTATTTTGCCAGTATAACATTTTGAGATTTTGGTAGTTTAAGAGGGTGGGGCTTTGGCAGGTACTTTCTACCTGTTATTTCCACTGAAATGTCCAGGATGAAGAGGCGCTATAAATAATTTTTCTTTAATTGTCTCATATTTTATTATACTGTTGTGTAGCTGAATAATACAGAATATTTGACACAAAAGACTGACAGGCACTGATATCACTATATACGTGGAAGTATGGAGGAGACTTTGGAGTTGATCAGTGGGAAGAAGTTGGAGGACTTTGGAGGGGCAGGCTAAAGGAAGGCAAGAGTGTTTACGTGCATCTCAGTGGGTGATTCTGGTGGGGGCTCAGAAGATACTAATGTCGATAAAGTGTGGGTATGTAAGGTCATACTGAGGAGGTTGCAGGTTTTCCTGGAGACTTCATTTGAGAAATGGACCAGAGATAACTATTTTAGAATGCCCTTGTGGTTATGAAAGGTCATGCTGATGAATTTGCAAGTTCACATAAAAACTTCATTTGAGAAATGGATCAGACTTAACTATTTTGGTGTTGCATAAAAGCTTTTAAGGTACATAGTGTCCAGGGTCTGAGTCTTTGGGAGGCTGAGTTTAAAAGTAGTGGACTAGTTTACTTGGTGGAGAAGATTTAAAGGAAGAAAAGCATGCAGGATGTATATTACTAGTAGCTTTTCATCAAGTTTACAGTGAGAATTAGAAAGAAAATAAGGAAAAGAGTTAAGGGATTTTAAAAATTTGCAACTTGTCCAGAAAAAGTGAACATGGAGGTGTGTAGTAGGAGGAAACAGCTATCAAAATTAGCTTTGTTAAAAAAAATAAATCAAAGACATGTGCTTTGCATCAAAATAATAGGAAAGATCCCATGAAGGCCTCTCAGAAATCTAAACATCACCCCATCCATCAGATTCAAAAGTGCAGTAATACAAATTTATGCTTTTCTCAAGGTTCATTTCTCTGTCCCTCTGACAAGGCACTTAGAAGCTGATACCACTGGTTCAAGTCAGCAGACAGTGCTATCTATGTGAGGCTTGTTCTTCCAGCAGATATTAGTGCTATCCATGTGAGTCTGGTTTTACAGAAATACATAAAAATTATGGAATCATGGAAGCTTCAATCGGGATGTTAAAGCAAACTTGGAGATTGCAGGCAGTGTGCTTCAGGATGAGAGTCCCTGCAAGCAGCCTCTAGTGGAGCAATGTGTAGTGATGCCATGGAAATTGACAATGTTTTGGAGACCAAAGGAAGATAGTGAAACCAGCAAGACCCACTGCTTAGGAGGAAAAGCTGGAGATAACAAGCAGACAGCTCAAGACAGTGGTCATGTTGGCGGATACTAGCAAGCCATAGAGGCAGGGATTGCCAAGCCCCTAGGAACCCAGATTTGTCTATAGTATAGTTGGGATGATGGACATGGAGAGGCAGGGTTTAATGTTTGCCCTATTGGGCTTCAGTCTTGTTTTGGGCCAATCATTTGTTTCTATTTCCGTCTTCTCCATTGAGTTGAGAATGGATGCCATATCACTATCATGATTCTATCTTGGAAATGTGTAGCTCTTTTTATTTATAGCAACTCACAGCTGAGCTTGCTTTAAATCTATAAAGTCAAATAAGAATTTTCCTAATAGGTTACTTGGGCATCTGATGGTTCTTCCTTTTTTTGCGGGGGGGGGGGAAGGAGGGGTGGGTGTTGTGGGACTTGAGCCTGGGCATTGAGCCACAATACCACTTCCAGCTTTCTGGTGGTTAATTGGAGTTAAAAAGTCTCATAGGACAGGTGCCGGTGGCTCACACCTGTAATCCTAGCTACTCCGGAGGCTGAGATCTGAGAATCGCAGTTCAAAGTCAGCCTGGGCAGGAAAGGTCATGAGACTCCTATCTCCCATTAACCACCAGAAAGCCAGGAAGTGGCGCTGTGGCTCAAGTGGTAGAGCACTCACCTTGAGCTGAAGAGCTGAGGGACAGCGCTCGGGCCAGAGTTCAAGCCCCATGACCGACAAACAAAAAAGTCATAGACTTTCCTGCCTGGGCTGGCTTTGAACCATGATCCTCAGATCTCAGCCTCCCAAGTAGGATTATAAGAGTGAGCCACCAGGCCTTACTCTAGACCATAGACAGCCAGAATGACAAATGGAGGTGTTTGTAGGTCATGGGCAGCTGACAGCTGGGCTGAAGGTTGAAGACTGATAAACCCAGAGCCTCTGTGGAATTAAGATGCAGTTCTAGGTAAGAAAGAGAAGGGAGAAGATGGTGAGAAAGTCCCCTGCAAAGGACTGCTCAGGGTTGATGTGAACAAAAGAAGTTTCCAGAACCTCAGTTTTCTCATCTGGTAGGTAGTGATAGAAGTGCAATTTCCATTAGTTGAGTTGGTGTGAGAAAACATGATTCATGTCAAATGGTCAGCCAAACACTAGTACAGAATCAAATTGAGGTAAATGCTTGCAGTGGATTTAGGCATATTTCCTTTACTCAGGGTTCTCAAGAGGAACAAAACCAATACAGTTCATGTAAGTGTGTGGGGGTTATTATTAGGAATTGGTTCTTATTATTATGGAGGTTCAGAGGTCCTACAATCTGCCAAATGCAAGATGGAGAATCAAGGGTATCGATTTTGTTTTTGTTTTGCTTTTTTTTAATTGTGAAAATGCCGTACAGAGGGGTTACAATTACATGAGCAAGGTAATGAGTGCATTTCTTATCAAGCATTGTTGCCTCCTCCTTTGTTTCCCCTTCCCATCCCTTCCCATCTTCCCCTCCCCCCCCCCCCCCCGCCTTCCCTCCCACTCCTCCCTTCCCCCTCCCGTACCAGTTTTATAATTCTGTCTAAATGCAGAATTTTCAAAACCAGGCAAGTAAAATTTTCTTTTTTGGCCAGTCCTGGGGCTTGAACTCTAGGTCTGGGTGCTGTCCTTGACCTTTTGCTCAAGGCTAGCACTCTATCACTTGAGCCTCAGCCCCACTTCTGGCTTTTTGGAGTAGTTTATTGGTAATAAGAGCCTCACGGCTTTTCCTACCCCAGTCATGGCTTCAAACTGCAGTCGATCTCAGTCTCCAAGGTAGCTGTGCTTACCGGAGTGAGTGGCTGCTATCAAACAGCTGGCTAGCAAGTCAATTTTATAAGTCACAGAGTGTGAGTGAGGGCCCTGATGATAGGTCAGCACAGGGAAGAAGAGCAAGCTTCAGCAGTTTGCCCAGCAGGTGACATGGTGGCAGTTCTGTCTTGCACTCTCTGTGCTGTCCCTAATCAGTGTCAAACTGTAGGCAAGGGACATTGTGAGATAAGGGGCTGACTGTAGTTCT